TTGTTTCAAGTGTAGTGAGACCAGGTGTATTGGGTGTGGGAAATGAACGAAGGGGGGTTCCTCGTGGCACCCTGTGACTGACGAGATCCTGATGACCGAAACAACTGCTGTCTGAAGGAGCAGAGTACCAACTGAAGTGTCGTTTTATTTTTTTATTTTTTTTATTCAACATCTTATGGCTTCCAATGGCAGCCCAAACGGGAAGATGTGGGTGATAGCCAACCATGGTAAAAGAAGGAGAATATGATATACATGAAAAGGAAACAGTCGAAAAGCCATATTGATTTAATAGTTTTTTATTATGGTGCACGCAGTCATCAGCAAGCCCTCAGATTCACTTTAAATTCTTTCAATGATGCAGAAGTCTTTACTGATGGTGTGCTGTAGCAACATGTTGAGGTCGGTCGGAGAGCGCAGCGTTGTGGTGTGGTGGTTGATAATAATAATAATAATAATAATAATATTCATGAAGTTGATTGTTCCAACTAGGAACACACGCTTCTTGCCGAACTTGACACTTGACTGACTCACGACTGCCATCCGGAGCACACGAGGAGCACGTCGCACCTTCCACTCGGCAAACCTGCAAGAAAGCACCACTCCCTGCTCAATACACGGTGTTTCGGGGAATTCACCCCTCATCAGTTGAGCTTGAGTAGGCTGAGGAAGATTGTGCCTGAAAAGCACCACTTATATACTGCTCTCCAGGCCAAACCATCACCAGGGATACAAACTTAAACTGAATCATCTTTTTTTCCATTGCCCCTTTTTCTTCTTACATGTATTTTTTCCTTACCCTTTAGGTTGTTTCTTGCATCGTCTCCATCGCTTACATTGTTAATAAAGTAGTCCACATGTCGCTTCAGCTCGTCCTACTTATTGCCATATTAAAATTATTGTCTCCTCGTCGAATTTTTTAATAATAAAACTTAATAATAATATTCGTTCAGAAAGTGGTGGACGCAACTGTATTGTAAAATTTGAAGGGGGTTTGTCAACTGACAATATTATATCGACTGTAGAATGCGTAAAAAACAGCAGTAAGGCATGCCAAGCATATATTTGCAAGGATGTTTTCGATCTACTTCTGCTTCCTTCCTGGAGCCCATGCTATTTTAAAGAAACATCAGTCTTGACAATATTCCTGAGTATGGGGTCGAAAAAATCAGTCTTGATATGGTCAGTTTATGCTTATATCGACTGGAGTTGAAGCATTCAAAAAGGTCAAAGCACAGTCACCAATAATAGCAGTCTCTGATAGTAGCGCGTGCAGAGCTGGCAGAGCTGAAATAGGAAGAACCCTGGGCTCTCGTTTGAGAAAGTACGGTCTCCCTATCCTACACCTACTCTCTGATCTGTTTGCGTAGCGTGGTACGATCGCACCTCCCTATGTAGTGCCGCTCAGTTTCTTGATATTGCTTTTTATATGATATTATTTTATTCCACGGAGGCGTGACGCCAATAAGGACGATTGATAAGTGTGATAGAACTGTTACTAGCCAGAAACAGCTAGATGGAAATTACACGGGGAGGCAAGAAGCAATTGATCATGAAAAACAAGTGGGGCAAAACCGTTAGCAGGGGTGATCGAGGTAGTTAACTACAAGTTCGAGATATCAGAAACCAGGGGAGTGCGCGGAGCAGGAGCAGGTACTGCTCAAAAGAAGACTGGATGCTTTGTTTCGGAAATAATTTCTACGATGTTGGGTTGTGATGTCGATAGGGAGTGAGTTGTAGAGGGTGAGGGCACTGTTGATGGGGGAATCTCGGTGCCTGTTTGTGTGTGCGTGTCCGATGGAGTAGGTCCTTGTCTGTCGAAGGTTGTATGGTTCGTGTTGACATTGTGGTGCAAGATGTGGTTGTTGCAGGTGTGGTGGGGAGGTTTGGTAGTGGATATCCCATGCTATTAGGACTTGTTTAACAAGGAGTCGTGAGCTAAGGGTGGGAAGCTTTGCGTGATGGAGGAGGGAACTGGGGTGAACTGGTGCAAAGAGGGGAATCCGAAGGCAGATGCGTATAGCACGGCTACTTTGATATCCTTGTTATGGACTCCATGACCCGGTGGATACGTATTGGCAGGTAGGTATGGATCTGCTTTTTGGACGCATACATTGAATGTTGTACCCGTGCACAGTGAGTTGTGGCCTCTGCACTACCGAGAAGTATCACATCCTCGAAACCGACGCCCGCACTAGGCTAAACAAGTGAAATGAGATTGTGTCAAATTCAGGCACGAAAGCAAGTATGTCCTATCAAATTTTGTGCCCATAACATAAGGACAGTGATTATTCTATGGCCTTGGTAGCGCCTCTATATCTGTTACCTGGCATGGGGGGCTGTTACCTGGCATGACACCACTCTGCGCTATCACCTTTCCCTAGGCACTCTGTGCAATGCATCATGAAAAATGGGCTGGTCACACCCCGCAATATCATCACCCTCATCTAGCACCTAGGCACTCTGTACAATGCATCATGAAAAATGGACTTGTCACATCCGGGACCCGACATAATGATAACTTTCACACTCCATAGTGACGGAGTTCACACCTTCTGAGTATATAACCAGTGTATCATACTTTGTTTGATCATCCATCTGATGATCCGTTGCTTGAACGGTGAAACACTGTGTAATGGAATTTGATCTCCGACGGTATTTCCGCTCGTGTGTAAGTTGTTTACATGTGTTCCCTGGGTTGTAGCTACGCACAGGTCTAATTTGGTCTCTCCGCTGATCCATCTTGCAGAGGCCCGACCTGTATGGATACAATGAATCCGAATGCGGCTCCTTTTTACTGTTCTATTTTGTTCCTGTGTAAGCACTGCACAGATTTATCTCCAGTTCTTCTTCACATATCTCGCTCAGATTTCAATCGTGTCAATCATTCATAGAGTTCCCGCTAACAGGACCATAATATGAAGGAGGGGGTGGCGTTCCTACGTATGCATTAGACTCGGCCTCCAGCCTCCAGTTGTTTACACTGCCAAACAAGGCAAGGCATGCCGGGAAACTCAAGATACAAGATATGGAGACAGTAGCAGAGTGGAAAGGCAGTGTACAGAGAATCAAGTCCCGTGCCGCGTTGTTTCATGTCAGTGCGCTTACGGTATTCTCGTCAGTTTACATCCCTTGTTCATGAGTTTTTCTCTTCACTTTATCATGAACATTTGTCACACATTCGTTTATCTCACTTTTTTAACGATTATCTCACTCTCCGTAGTACTTGCGCGTGATTTGATTTGTCACCTTTGTTTATTCGCTTGATCACTTCAGTTCCGTGATTCCAATGATGATCGGAGCTTGAAAATCGATTCTGGAAACACACAATTCTAAACCTCTAGAAAATTGACATGTTGCCTGGTGATGTCTACAGTATTCGTACTCTTCATGGCTACCGTATTTCCCCGTAAGTTAGTTCTCCCCAATGACTTAGCACCCCCTATAAAAATATACTTTCCACTGCTGAGGTTATCACCCCGAAAGACAGTTCCCCCCGAAAGATAGTAAGTTCGTACCCGTCCTACATGTACAGACACCGTACAGTACATACATCATATGCACGGGCACTAGAGTTGCGCAGGCTTCCCACTGCGTGTCATTTACCCCCGATAAAAAAAGTACTCCCCGAAAGCTAGTACCACCCCCTAAAGTTAGTACTCATGTGGCTGCTAAGTTCGAAAGTTAGTACGTACTAACTTACGGGGAAATACGGTATTATTAAACCTTCTTCCAGACGCTATGCAAAGACGTGACTTTAGTAATGTCAGGGTCCACACTGCTCAGGGCCTTATTAGGGGCTTCTACCGGGGGGGGGGGGGGGGGGGGAGGAGGGGAGGTGTATCCTACTCAGCCTCCATTGTGTATCTTGGTGCCGACACGTGGACTGCGCTGCCTCCGTCTTGTCGCCAGGCCAGGTTGCCTGCCTTGTTTCGCGCTCTCACAAAGCCCCTTTTAGGGTTCCCAGTAAAAAGGTAACAATGCCTGTTGGGAAATCCCTAACAAAATCAGAAATTTAACCCTGTTATCGCACTTCTGGCTTCTTATTATCTTGTTACAGTCGTGGATAGTTGCTTCATAACTCGTTTCCATGTGATTTCTTCTATTTTAGAATCAGAAATAATAAAAATAAGAATGCAAAAGAAAAAGGCCCAAGGAACTCCAAGCTATGCTATAATTGTCCACTAACACCAGCAGTTCTCTCTCACACCTCACATTTGCAACAGCAAAACCACAGTGCAGGGTCGGCTGTGGACAGCCACATTGCCTTGTTTCAAGGGGAAAACAGAGTTGCCAGAATTCGAGGCAAAATGATACAGCAACAGTTAGTGCAGAATGACCACCCAGATAAAATATATAAAATAATAAGCAACTAGAACTTATAAAATCAGCAGTGCAGAAAGATACAGCAAGGAAACCACCGCATTCACAATCAGAGCAATTATATATATACAGAGGGTGGGTGGGCGGGCCCTTGATGAGCAAGACAAAAAGAAGGACAATCTTTTTGTGCAAGCGCTGTTTCACAGTGCTCGCTCAACAACGATTACGTCACTACAGTGACGTCAACCTGCACTGCGTGCCACAACAACAACAAAAATAATAATAATACAACAAGCTTGGCAAATATTCGAAGTTCGAGAGAACATTGCTTCTCGTTTCTTTCGAATTCTCAGCCAACGAGAAGCGTACACTTACTAAAAAATCAGCTCATGCGATAACATTGCACGACACTGACCGACGATACTGACATTCTAAAACTAAGTAAGTATTGTGCAATGTTTTCGCATGAGCTGATTGTTTAGTAACTGCTGGTGTTAGTGGACAATATAGCGTAACTTGTAGTTCCTTGGTCATTTTCTTTTGTATAAATTACTCCTTGGCTCTCCGTCCGAGTCCATTCTTGCACACCTGAGGAAAGAACAATAAACAATGCGTGGAGGGGGAGGGGGGGGGGGATTTGTAGCTACAAAACGTGAAAGAACTTATTTACTTACCTCCACATTTGTAGTTGTATCGAAGACCAATACATCCAGGACAAATTGAGGGTGCCATGTTACAATTTTCCTGGCAAGTTTGTTTTGTAAGACCTGAAGAACGTGCAGTTAGAATGATAGGCATACACAAAACTGAAAACACTACTAGCCTCATAATCAGACGTTATCGCAGAATTAGTGCTTGCAACCAAGTGCATCGGAGCGGTGTTTCGGAAATGGGAGAACCACGCGATTACATGCAGTGGAAAGTCACCGTAGCAAAGCGGCATGTATACCCACGTATTCGCACAACACCGCACCAGCATAATTGGGCTACACCAGTGTGCAGGCTTCAATCAACTGGTGAAGCGATTGGCGTTGCAAACAGCCAAGATGAACGCTCATGAGTGAGTGAGGCGCAACAGTACCCGTTGCTGGGTGCAGAGGTGGCTGATCGACATTGCAAACAGCCAACTACGGTGATACAGTTAACATTGGAAATGACCAAATCAATCGCTCATGCTTGAGCGGCAATAGTAACCCATGACCGGGTACAATGACTGCTGATTGGTGTTGCAAACAGCCGAACAATAGTATGCAAATTTAAGCAGAGATAGTAGCAGCAAAGCAACCAGTTGACAGTTGAAGGAAACTGTTCCCAGAAAACCAGCACACGGCACCCTGTTTTAGTCAACTTGTCAATCGCCCCAGCCAACACGGTTCAATCAAGCGAAAGGATAGTTAATACATGCAATAAGAATAAATACAAGCAAAGGGTTCTGGATAATAAACAATCAGGACAATATGGATCTGGCCGCCATTCTCGGGTTCTCTCTCTCTCTCTCTCTCTCTCTTTCTCTCTCGATCTCCTCGACCTTGCGCCTGGATCCGTCAATATGTACAGTCACTACACCCCCCCCCCCTCCCACCCGCCTGTGTGGATTCACAGGAAGTGTGAGTTACGAAGTCTGAAGAAAATGTTGAACGGCCTCTGCTGGGATGACGACTACACCATAGCTCAGTGGTTAGAGCATCGCTGGCTACAAGTGAAGGTCCCTGGTTCGAGTCCTGGTGGTGACAGTCAATTTTTTCTTCAGACTTTTCCCGTTTGTCTCTTTCCCTCAAACCAGTTTTAAATAATCACTACAATGTAGCAGAAACAAGTATCACGTGAGACCTATGTCACTGGTAGACTGCATGGTACAACCCAGCGCTAGGGCTAGGCATGCCAAGTATGTGGAGAGTGCGTACAGAAAGAACGCAGTGCAGGTAGGCCTAGTATGCTTCTAGCATATCAGCAGATTACTGAAAGCGCATCAATGACAGAGACAAAACATACATTACAACAAGAGTCATGCAACTATAAAATACACTGCTGCATGGTATTTTTTATAATTGTCCTGCAGACAGTCATGACATCTTATTACTTCCCATGCTGTTCATATTTGATCATATTAATCTATCATACTATTATATTTTTCATCATAGCCTAGGAGCTGTGGCATCATTTATGATCCACAGTAAGAAGGCAGCAATGCCTGTACCTATGGTGAAGTGAACTTAGGATAACATAACATAACTTAACTATCAGACATAGTTCAGTGGGATTACCACACACCCCAGCAAGTGTCCACCGCCATTGCAACTATCAGACATAGTTCAGTGGGACTACCACACACCCTAGCAAGTGTCCACCGCCAATGCACGAGACCTAAGTACCAGACTTAGTTATTCCCGTAGCTATGCAGAAGACGTTACTTCAGTAACGTCTGGCGCTAGCCAGGGTCCACACAGCTTTAATTTGGTATTTGTGTGTTTGTTTGTTTGTTTGTTTGTGTCCCACCTGGCACTATCCCGTATCTGTCCCATACCGTACCGTACCATCAAACACTGCTGGCCACATACAGCTGGCCGCAATATTCAAATAGGGCTTTCAAACGCAAGATCATAACGTGAAGCAACTTGGAAGAATGGGTATGAATGCGAAGTGTATGGGGGAATGCATGTCGGGCGATAGTGCGGGTTCGAATCCCAGGATATGCCCAAAAAAAATAGGAGAATTGAAAAATTTATAACATCCCTATGCTTTTTTGCCGTCATCAAGGCGGTAGACGGTGTCGTATTACCCTCGATCGTACCTGTCCCGTACCTATCCCGTACCGTACCGTACCATCAAAGACGGCTGGCCACAATGCATATTCAAATAGGGCTTTCAAATGCAAGATCATAACGTGAAGCAACTTGGAAGAATTAGTATGTATGCAAAGTGCATCGGGGGATGCATGCAGGGCGCGCGATAGTGCGGGTTCGAATCCAAGGTGGATAAAGTTAGGCATGCAGATGGATGAAATCCAACGCAGGTGCTCAGTAGGGTAAATTAGCAATGACAGTTTGTATCTGTATGTCAAGGCCTTACTACATCGACTGGAATGGCAGCACTGCTCAGTCTGGTTGTACTTGAGCAGCTGGGGCGAGACACCAGAATTCCTCCAAGCGGAAGCGATACAGCAGATCAGCAATGCAGTTAGACTGGTTAGCCATGTGACCAGCAGTGGCGGTGAAATTGAAGCGGGTGCACACAAAGAACAGCCTCCTAAGCAGAGTCATCACTGGCGGTGATTAGTATGTGGCGGAGCGAATGCAATCTACCACAGCATTGTTGTCACAGTGCATTGTGATACGAAGCTGGCACCATTCCTTGCCCCACATGCAGCAATCTGTGACCAAGGTGCAGAGCTCAGTCCACTCAATCCTGTGAATGAGTGGCTCAGACGACCATGTCCCTTGAAGCCAGCGGCCTATGTTGAATGCGCCCCAGCCCAGGGTGCCACTGGCATAGGTGAACTTCTTAAAGTCAGGAGATGGTGTGCTATATGGGACCAGGTAGAATGGCTCTCCGTTCCATTGTTCCAGGAGTTGTAGCCAACATTGGATATCTACCTGCCACCCGGTAGTCAAACTGATGTGGTAGTAAGGCTGCTGTGAACGACTGCAAATAGACCACAGGCACCGCATAAATGTCCGGCCGGTTACGATGAGTCTCGCAGCGAAGGAGAGTTTCCCCAGAAGAGATTCGAGCTTGTGTTGGAACATAGTGGGGTTCATGTTCACTGATGTCAACCATGGCGCTTGATGTCAACCAATTAGTCGTCAGAGAGTCGGGCTCCTACCTTCTCACAACCCAGGAAAATGCCCAGGAATGTCAGGATACGAGACGGGCCTTCCAACTTCGCAAGCCCAACCAGAACTCCGAGGTATGAGAATGCACGGAGGAGAATAGCCAGCTGCCAATTCACCACTGCCCAGCACCACGCTCACTCACGAGCAGTTGCCCAGGAAATGAAGCAAATTAGGAATGGAGAATTCATGGTGCATTATCCATCCGATGGTGGCTGCCACGGCATCAAATACCGCCTGCCTAGAGCAGAGCCCAAACAGCAGACATGGTCATAGTAGTACTTCTCCTGCCACAGGATACCCAAGAGGTGGGAATCCGTCGGCGGACAAGTATAATTATGCCAGACAGCACTCTTCACGTCAAGTTTAGAGAGATAGACAGGAGATGGGGAGGGCATAGTGTTGTCAATTTCTTCATCAATACTGATATACTGTAAAGAGAAAGGCTCAGCAGGGATCCCAACATTAACGCCTGAGCCGGCAGGGCTGGACAGATGGTGTATCAAGCGTAGTTTGCTATTCTTTTTTGGACCAATGCCAATGCCAGGGCAGTGCAAAAATGGGGGTGAATCAAACGGGCTGGCCTGCTTTGCAGGAAGTGGTGAACTGTGCAGAGACAAATTATGAGCGCTGAAATGTTGACGGGAAGATTGACCAGTACTGGTTAGGTATACGGTTGCAGGTAAAGCCAATGTGAAAGATGCAGCGAATGCCGTACATCACATGCAAAGCCAATGAGCTGTCGGGGTGGCTACGGAGCAGTAGTTCGAAGCGAGAAACAGAACAAGGTGTGTGGACAGCAGGATATGCGCTTGTGAAATCAGTAGAAAGTGAAGTCCAGAGAGAATTGTTTACAATAGCAGGTGCTGCAGCCAAGGCGGCAGAGTTACTGGCGCCTACCACACTTGGATCGGTTGTGGTCCTTGGACCCGCAGCGGTTGCAAACATGGGCGTACTTGCACGTGCCGAGACTGCAACACCCAGGGTTGCAGTTCCAGCAGACCGGTTAGCCATTGAACACCCTACAGGACCGATTGGCCATTGGACACACTACAGGACCTGTTGGCCATTGGGCACACTACAGGACCGGTTGGGCATTGGACACACTACGGACTCCATTGAAGGCTTGCTGGTGGCTACGTTGGGGACGAAAGGGACACTGGCCGCCCCGGGTGAATGAGGCGGCAGGACTCGCATGTGGGCCTTGATCGGCTAGTCGCTGATATTTGCCACAGGTTGATGTCGATGACATCGATGCGCTTGCCTGGCTGAGCAGCAACGGCGGAGCGAAACTGGGTGTTGGATGACAACTAAGCCTTCGGATGTTATTGCCTGTTGGCAGAACAGTGGTGGCTTGATACAAGAGCATTTCCTGCAGGCGGGGCAGCATCTGCTGCAGGAGGGGCGGGTTGGCAGAACGCACGACATTCATAAAGAGAGTCCATGCCTCTGGCCATGTCGGCAAGTCGTGGACGCGTCGATGAACAGGATGGGCAGCTCCACTTTTCACCCCCTCCAGAGACATGCTGGCACTGCAGAACTGCACCTCAAGCTGGCATGGAGCGGATTATGAGGTTACAATGGTATCGGGCAGCACCAGGGTGAAATCTACAAAGTTGCCCTTCAATATATTTTCTTGTTAAACCGGGGAACGGAGAGAGCGTTGGAAGTTTCCGCCGAAGGTTGAGCTCCAGATGCAGGGGCGCTGATGGTGGCCAGCATTGGAGCGATTGCCTCCGACAAGGCAACGATGACGGCGGAGTGTACTTCCTGGCACAAATCTTCATTTCTACTCCAGTCCATGACAAAGGAAGCCGGTGGGATACTGCAACACTGCAGATCCTGCTCTTGCTCCTCCTGCAAGGGTGCCGTGGCGTACGAGGCTTGCGGTTCCTGTGCCGCCGAGTTCGAAGAGTCCTTGATACTGAGCAGCAAACAGGCAAATAGCTCGGGCTTTGTTTCACTGGAACTCAGCCCACGGCCTTCCAGCTTGGCCCACAAGTCCGACACGTTCATACTACATGCTGGAGAGGCAGACAATATGTTTGTCGTGCAGTGAATGGCTGCCAGAAAAGTACTAGGAGTCCGAATAAATAGTTCTATTCTCAAAGCAAATAAATTACGGTGACTTCTCAGTGACACAAGCCAACGTCAGTGCAGCAGGAGTTACTCAAGGCAATTTTGAAGCGCATGCGCAGCAGTTGAGTGCATATGTAAAGCCAGCTCAGTTGAAGCATGCGGTAGAGAGCAGCGCCTTGGTGTTATCGCTAACTAAGGGTAGCCCAAAAGCTAACTCAACATCTTGACTGTTCATCTTTCGGCTTTGAACAGTCATTGGCCAGATGGAGCCACTTAACAAACTGAGATTATGGCTAAGGTGAGTAGATTGTGGTAGTCTGTATCATTGATGTCACACAGAACCAGCTCAAAGGTTCGGGTGAACCTGAGCGTGCGAATGGTTTGTATTTTGGGGTAAGTGAATTGCAAGAAGGTGTGGTGGTGCATATCTATGGTGCAGGCTATGTGCACGAATAATAATGGAAAGGGGTACGGTGGCTGCTAGGTGATGGTCGTTTGAGCTGGTGCAGCACCACAGAGTGGGTTCTTTGTGGAGTGGGTTCTGTGCTCAAAAAGGGGAGAGGCAAACAGAGGCGATCGGCGCACCGTTGGATGCTCTCCAACTGGTCGTTGACGGTTGCGGGGAGAGGCGGTAGGAGAGTGCAGGCATTCTCAAGAATAGGGCGAATGTAAGATAGATAAAAGGAGCAGAGAGCAGAAGTGTTTTAAAAGGAATTGCGTAGTCGCAGGAGAAAGAACACCCCCCTGGACGCTTCAGTGATGACATAGTCAACATGTGAGTTCCAGCATGGATTCTGCTGTATGATGAGGCGAAGGTGGCGATGCCTTGAGGCCACAGTGAGGTTGGTATCGTTGAGTGTGATTGAGGGTGGTCTGGGAGGTTGCCGGTTGGTGTGGTGAAAGTGGATGACGGCAGTCTTACCTTCATTGATCGGGAGATGCCAATCCTTCTGCCACTGTGCGGCGGTTATCACAGCTGACAGAAGAGGTGCTCTTCTGCGGCTAGAAACGGAGCTTTCCAATGATGAATCATTCGATATAGCGTGGCGTAAATACGCAAGCTCGAAGTTCGGGAAACAGGTGAATGTCAAATTGCAAGCATGTGACTGTGACAGATTTCATGCCAAAGTTGACGCGGTGTTTGATTACGGGGATTTCCCCAGTGCACAGCCCATGCGTGACATAGACCAGCATTAGTGCTTTTTGTGCACGCGCACATGTTGTCCAGGCGTCAGGGGCCCAGCCTCCCCGCCCATCCGACCCGCCACACACAACAACGAAACTGAACTGAGAGTTCTACATAATTTCTTGACAAGACGGAGACGGACAGACAAGAAGACCGGACACGACGAGGTAAACTGATAACTGAAGAAAAAGACTAACATTTATGGCAGCATACGAGCATGCGCGCAACAAAACACAACGTATGACAATGACGTAACCGTTACTTGGATCATGTACAAACTATACATGCAACCAAAACAAGTCAAAGCAGAACGCAAAACAAACCAAAATAAACGAAAGGACCACAACAAAAAGAGCCATGAAAAGTCTTTCTACCGATACACAACATACTCCCCACCAAAGACCTTTTCAGGGTTCTACGAGGACTGCGAACACTGTGCCCTACGAGTATACGCCGCAAGCGTACTAATCAAGCTAACTACAAGAGGCAACAAATAAACAAATAAACGATCGACACGCCAACAAAACTACAACGAAAGGCAACGTCCGACCAGGGACAAACAAATCAAACTCAAACAAATCGAATCAAACTAGTCAACAAATCACAGCAGGAGCACCTTCTAAACTCCGCGTCACACTCACATGGGGTTATTTGCTCACGATGCGTTTTCCTTCGCACCGTCCTTGTCGTAGGAACCAGCCACTCATCGCAGACGTTTATCCGACTTCGTCTACCCTCAGCGCATTCAGCTCCAACGACTTCCGTCGCACCAACCTCCGAGTCGTCGTCTTCACCAGCCACCTCGCGGGACGTCCCTGCCCTCAGCGCATTCAACTCCGACGGACCAGCCACTCCTCGCAGATGTTCATCCATTTCATCTGCCCTCAGCGCATTCAGCTCCGACGAGCCAGCCACTCCTCGCAGACGTTTCCTCGCTCAGCGCCTTCAGCTCAGACGACGTCGTTTCGGTGATTTGTTCACGATGCGTTTTCCTTCGCACCGGAGTTCCTTCCAGTTCCTCGTCTCCCTGACAATCCTGGCGTGGTCGCCAAATTTTGTGCACGCGCACATGTTGTCCAGGCGTCAGGGGCCCAGCCTCCCTGCCCATCCGACCCGCCACACACAACAACGAAACTGAACTGAGAGTTCTACATAATTTCTTGACAAGACGGAGACGGACAGACAAGAAGACCGGACACGACGAGGTAAACTGATAACTGAAGAAAAAGACTAACATTTATGGCAGCATACGAGCATGCGCGCAACAAAACACAACGTATGACAATGACGTAACCGTTACTTGGATCATGTACAAACTATACATGCAACCAAAACAAGTCAAAGCAGAACGCAAAACAAACCAAAATAAACGAAAGGACCACAACAAAAAGAGCCATGAAAAGTCTTTCTACCGATACACAACAGTGCTAGAACAGCCTGATTCTGCTCGTATCTGAATATTCGCTGTACGTTCAGTGTGAGATGCAGATAGAAAGAAAATTGTCTCTGAGTGTAGAATAGCATTACGAAGGAACGTTGGAGCAGCTTTCGAAGTGTTTGCAGGCCATTTTCCTGCACCAACCGAGCACTGAGCACTATAAATCGAAAGTGGAGATCCTCAGCTTTCCAGAGAGTGTATGATGATGCTACTCCGTTACTGGTGAGTGAAATGGTGATAATGTTAGTGCCCAGCGAGAACATTGCGTGTAGTGCCACCACGTGTGCCGGCCATGCACTAAGTGCTCTGGCACTGAAAAGGGTTAAAGAACTAGAAGCGAGGCGAACAGCGCAATCAAAATATTATAGTTTCACCTCAGAAATCGACCCTTTCTTTTACATTGACAACACAATTTGCATTGTTCATTCCCAATATTGCCTGTTGCTGTGTCTTTGCTTCCAGACTCATCTAGGCCCCTCATCATGATGTTTTGCACCCCATCGTTGGAAATTTTCTATTCTCGAACACTTACTCTGCATGTGGTTGATTAAACTGTTGTTAGGGGCCGTGAAGGTGCTGTACAAGGTCCTCGATAAATCCGTGGGGTACTTCAGTTGGCAAAAGCGCAAATCTTTGTTAAACCCATCCAGGTATCTGTGAGGGAGAAGATGCACAATGATATTATGTTTTGCAGTCATGAAACAGGCTTTAGAATCTTTACAACAAACACACCCGTCAAAAGAGAACACAAATTATAACAATGGTTGGAAGTCCATTGGTTGTCGATGTCAAGCAGTGGTCAAGCTCACTTCCGACGTCGTAACACCACCCTACAAAGATCAAAGGTACGGATGCAGCTCTTAACTGAGCAGTACTGGAACGTGAGTGGATAAGTCAACCAGCAGAGTGGTCAACGACTGAAATTCATGTTCACTGAATCCTTGTTTCCCTTGCACCAGGCCACAAGTTCCCAATTAATTAACTGGGGTTGCAGCACGCCTGGAAAAATTCTTTCCGCATCCAAGCAGGAACTGCACCCACGTTTCTAAACTATGATCTTATACCATCATCGTATGCCTGACTGCAAGTGTCCCAACGAAAAAAGAAGGACATTATTGTATAAAAACAGAAGTAAATTATCGTGTCCGTTCCCGAAGGGAACTCACGACGGCCGCTAGCACCCGGTAGACCTTAGCGGCAGATGCAGGGCCTAACGGTGGGCGTGAGTTGATAAGTCTCACATCCATTGGCACAAGTGCCGAGAAACCCCATTAGCCGCATCCATGTACCCTTTGTGCCTGGCCACAAGTTCCCAGTTGACTGTGGGTAGCAGCATGGTTGGAAAAACCGCTCCCAGGCAGGACTTGAACCAGGTACCTCTTGTATATCAACCATGGACTTTGACCAACCCACTGTGTCTGTCTGGTGATTGCGCACTATAAAAGAAGTTTGGCAAAAATGCATTTAACTTGCTGCTTCCGGAATGAAACTAAATGAAGATCATGAAGAGTTGGGACCATTATATGCAATGTATAATTGATGCAAGTGGAAACATGTTGTGACTAAATGTTTCATACCAAGCGAGACATATCACACTAACACTATCCCTTACAATAATTATACCGTGAGTAATGCACCAGACAGGCACAGTGGCCGGGTTAGTCAAGTCTTCAGACTTGGTTTAGTATTCGTTTCGCATGTACACTCTATCGGGTAAAGGTCCTGGAAGCTGTTTACATGCACAAACGCAAACCAGACCTATGCATTCAAAAATATTACAACATTCACCCTCCTTAGCACCACCAGGGCTGCCACTTGCTCCGATTTTTCGGAAATCATCCGATTTTTGATCGCCTGTTGGACAAACCGACTGATTTTGTTCCCAAAGAGGGACAACCGATTATTTTATTCTGAGCCCTTTTTAGTCCAGTTGGCCATTCGGCGCTTCCAGGTCGCGTTTGGCCAGTCATTGTACATGTACATGTACATGTAGCTGTAAAATGCACGCGTGCTTGCATGTGTGTGGACAGCTAACAATGTGTTCTGGGGCCCCAACAGCAAGCCTATTCCTTAAACAAATTCACCGGGGGATACCCCCGCAACCCCGTCAGATTTGTCTCCCTCCAAGTGTGGCAGCCCTGCACCACAGCTGTATTGTACGTGTCAGTGTTTGTTTTGTTTTCGTCAGGCGAAATAGCACGTCATAGTACATTTGAGACCAGCGGGAAGAAGATGACGACGTCCACTGATTTAGTATCTGTGCACACGAATACGCTGTGTGTGACTCTGTGTGTCAGCTATGACATCAAACCCTGTGCTTGCATGCCTAGCATGTAGGTCAGAACCATCCTGCAAAGTTTGAATGAGGTAGGTAGAACGATCGCGCCGCGAACCATACTTTATGAAATTCTCTTCATAGTACATCTTCCACCATTGCAATTTCGAATTTCTTGCTGAGAGAGGGGGGGGGGGGGGGGGGGGTGGTTTGCAACCTCGATATGGCTTGTTCCAGGCATGCTTTGGAGCCAAACCCTGTTAAAGTAGTGGCGGGGATCTGCCCTGCAACAGCTACAACAAAAAATGATTCGATCTGAGAAAGCGTGAGACCGCGAATCTCGGTTGTATATTATTGAGTATTTCAAGCCTTTTTAGACGATGGTGGAGATCATTTTTGGAGATGGATGTCGCGGAAAAGGACATGGTTTCCGACTTCTGGCGTCTTGGGAAGCCAGGGATCATTTGTCCAGTCAGGCCGGCAGCCTAGCCGTCGGTAAGCATGTGCTTGGATCTCGTTCTGCTCGATGTGGTAGGTCATGAACAATTTTGATATCACACAAATTGAACTCTGCATCATGCGTACGGTATTTTATATTCAGGAAATCGCAATGTCTCTCTCTGTGGCCGTCCTATGCCATTAGAACTCCAATCAGGCTCTTATGTTCTCTGTCTTCTTGATTGAATGTCCACTTCGTTTGAACATCGAACACAACAATCGAGGACGGCTTTGCAATGGAAAATACAGCTATACAGGAGCTGAAAAAGAAGACCGTGCTCAGGATGAGATTCGGGTACACGCGTACTCTCAGCCCCTTTACAGTACAATTTACAACTTCAAAGAGTGGCGAGAGTGATCATGGGGTGGTGGCGTCCCACGGAAGCGGAAAGGTGGTTCTTGACCAGGGAGTTGTACGACTCCTTGTTCTTGACCTACCCGCTACGCGAACCCGTCGATTTTTTTAAGAGTAGTGAACAGATAACAAAATGCATATAACACGATGCAGATAAGAACAGACTGTACTCTTGATTGCAATAATTAAGAAGAGATAACTTACAATTGCTTCAAGCTGCTTCCTACTTCAAACATTCCTTGAGGAAGGTCTTTTACTCCAATGTTTTTAATATCCCTGGGGCAAGAAAAAATGCAAAAAAAGGTGAAAAAGAATTGTGACCAGGAATGTTGTTCCATAACCCATAATTGGTGCACCAACAGCGACGACGGGATCTGCAATTTGAACCTAATAAACAAAACAATGAAAGCATACATGGAGTGCCTCCATTATGACTCAGCACTGAGACATCATTGGAATACTCCCTGGCCTCACAGAATTGCGACTCGAATGAAGCCGGCACAAAGCGCCACTTGCTGAGCAACAGGCCAACATGAAGAGATAGAAGAACTGTGCCACAACAACAAAATATACAATGAATGCAATAGAAGTGCACGATGGTCCAGAAAGTTCTCCTGTACCGGGCAGCTGGTGAGTGTGAGTTTGACATGTGCATCGATGTCTCCTAGTACAAGCAGAAAATCACGACATAGCAGTTTTGCACTCGGGGAATTTCACTCCATGTAGTTGGAAAATCAAGAATGGAAAAAGAGCTCTCCTTGGGGAGGTATTTCGGACACTCAGCTCAGCTGCCTATAGGAACTTTGGATGTGGCCGAGTACCTGTCAGCTCATGCTATAAGACCCTGGGCAGAGAAACTGACCCAGAAAGGATGAACCAAGGGACATATCAACTGTATGCAAAAATGACAATCTCATTGCTGTAAATATAATTTCACCATTTCAACAGTGCTGCGTATGTGGTATCATCAAGTCTATGTGATGATGAGTTATATTGAAATAGAATAATGCAACGAAGGACTGAGAGAGGACGACTGGTCAGGAAACTACCAAGGAAAGACTGAACAGCAACAAGAGACATGCACTGTCGATTATGAGCACGGAGTACATACATGCATGCATAGTATGAGTAGTGTGCTGTGAGGTTGTACGCACGTCCATGCAAGGAGATGCAGCAGCATATTAAGAAACATGAGAGTGCAAATATGTACGATGTACACGGGTACACCACTGCATATAATACCATTGTAGCAACACTTAGACATGTCAGATCAATCCAAAACTTTCAGACAGTGAACATTTTAAAAGTGTGTTTGCTCATTTTTGAACAAAAAACTGAAAATAGAATTTTTGGTCTGTGGTCATATTTTAGCGTGCTCTCGCTCAAATGTTCAAAATGCATCATTTTTCCAGGACCGGGCACATATCTGGGATTTAGAGCTATGAGCTGGAACTACACTGTCTGTATGCAAAGGCAAAATAACAAAGAGGGAGCTGCCAAGCCCAGGACCATACGTATGCTTCACTTTTTTAGTTTTTCATGCACATAGTGTGGTGTGGTATTCGAACTGATGTAATCGTCGTTGCAATACAAACAATAATAGAAAAGCTGACAGGATCGCTTTTCTAAACTACAGTAGACTCATACGCCCAAGAACGCGGTTTCAGAGGGCCAGCCTAGCAAAGTTCTTATTTTTCAGCGCCCCAGGCTACGTTCTTATTTCGCGTTCTTACGCGTCCAACATGACCCGTGACGCTCATGTGCATTTTGCGCTACATGTACCGGTTGTACACTTTACATGCATGTGTACTATGTAGCGCTGCACTGGCCGCTGGGTGATGTTTTCGCGAGGACCCGACAAGAGTTTGTGGTTGCGGTAGCATTTTCATTCTGATACAGAAATGTGCAATACCAAAATGTCGCGTTCTTAAAAATCTTGGAGTTTGTTCTTAAATCCAGGCTGGGGCGTTCTTAGATTTCCAGCCTGGACGTTCTTGGGCGCCACATTTTTGGGCGTACGAGTCTACTGTATCGAGTATGGGGTTTTCCCTTTCACAATGTTTTTTTTCAGATCGAATTGCACGGAAAATGAACTAGGTAAAAACAAAGCATAGCGATGACTCCTTTGCAGCTCTCTGTGTTCTGTGTGTGCGCGCGCGTGTATGTGTGTGTGTGTGTGCGCGCGTGTGTGTGTGTGTGTGTGTGTGTGTGTGTGTGTGTGTGTGTGTGTGTGTGTGTGTGTGTGTGTGTGTGTGTGTGTGTGTGTGTGTGTGTGTGTGTGTGTGTGTGTGTGTGTGTGTGTGTGTGTGTGTGTGTGTGTGTGTGTGTGCATACTGACCGACCACCAAGATCTCAATCCCTTGACAAGACATGCAGAAGCCCTGGATTTCTCTCAAAATCCCTCGATGGCACAAAACAAGGGGAAAGCACTTTCCCGCCAAAAATCGCTCAACTCTGCAGATCTGCATACAGCACAGTTCAACCCTGCAGTGCAGTTCGACCAGTCGGCGCCCGCCTGTCAGTTCAGATCTTGCAGGCAAGGCTGGTCAGATCTTGAAAGTGCCGTGCAGGCGTGCACAGTTCGAAGTGCGAGTGGGCACCGTACATATTTTTGAAAGAAAAAAAAACGGGACATTTGTGGCGAATCCACGGAGTTTTCAGGAAAATCCTGTATCAGACAAAACTGTGACTTTTCTGGGAGTTTGCTTGAAATCCCTGGACCCCGGGAGTAGTGTCGAAAACCGGGAGGGTTGGCCAGTATGTGTGTGTTCTATGGGCGTGTGTTTGTGTGTGTGTGTGTGTGTGTGCGCGCGTGTGTGTGTGTGTGTGTGTGTGTGTGTGCATGTGTGTTTAATTTAAAATATTATGTGTGTGTGTGTATGTGTGTGTCTGTGTGTCTGTGTGATTGTGAGTGAGTGTGTATGTCTGTGAGTATCTTCTGCACAGTGATGTGTGACACAGGAATGCGCCAGACCATTACTCTCAGCGTCATCCTGACAAACTCCCCGAGATTGCCCAGGATCGAGCAGCTCCAAGAGGTAGGCTTTCTCCAAAATCGGCAGGCCGAAAAATTCGCCGAAAACGAGACTTACTAAAAAATCGCTAAACCTTTCACCGATTTTGGAGGGTTTCTTTGAGAATCGCCGAAAATCTATCAAAAGTTGTTGCAAAGAGCGTATACTGTGACAATATGACAATGTGTGTAGTGTGACGATACAATGTGTGTGTAGACAAACATTACGATTATGTATTTGTTGTGGTGACATCTGTCATCAGTGTGTCATGGCTCTTACCTCATTGTAGCTTCATCCGTAGTCCGCTTCCATTGTCCTTGTTCTATATTCTATTCTATTTCTTCTAGTGCTAGTCGTTTCACTTCTCATCTTTCCTTGAAGTAGTATATTTGAATTGTAATTGTTTTCCTGCAACGATCGCTCGTCGATCGTTGTGTTATTTATTTGTGTCTTGACTTCATTATTTATTTTGCCAGCGCCTGCAAGGCTGCATGCGCATGCTAGATTCTGTGTTCACGCGTGACTTATGATGTCATCGCTATGCCTTTGCTTGCTGCGCGTAGTCTTGTTGTTTTCTTTGCTTCGTTCGAGTTGCTGTTGCTCGACTTCGTTTTCTGATCTATTTTCTGCATTCAATGGTGGCCGTGATGGCTGTCGCTGCAATAGCAGCTTCAGCCACGACGGGCCTCTATCGGTTGGTCTGCCGCCATGTTGGACGCCATGTTTTAGACGTGTCTTTTCCTGGCTGAAGTGCTCGTGATTTCGTGTTCTTGTGGTTCTTTTCTAGTTCTCTCTCCTTTTCCAACTTGCATTTTTCGTGATTCATACATTTCCACCAAGAGGCTGCCGTTTGCGCTGGTGTGTTGTGTTGGGTGAAGAGGGGTGATAGAGAGACTAGATAGCTCCAGTTCTCCCACAACTTTGTGGTGCCGAAACCCGGGAGAGAGCCGGGAAAGAGTCGGGAAAGTGTTTTCGGAGTACGAGTGTCGTAGTGATTTATTTATTTTGTGAGACGAGAGTTCTTACTGTGAGTTCCTACTGTGAGTTCCTACTGTGTGTTCGTGGAATACTCGAGTGAATCATGTCTACCAAGTATCTTGTCCAGCCGTTTTCTGGCAAGGATGGTGAAGACCTAGAGGAATTCTGGGCAAAGTTTTTAGTTTTGGCCACTGCCAAGGAATGGTCCGACGAAGATGCACGCATGCAACATCTACCCTTATATTTGCAGGGCGATGCATTTCGAGTGTTTTCTCGTATGGCAGAGAGTGACAAAAGCAAACAAGCAGAGGTCAAGAAAGTTTTAGTGAGTGCGTTCAGTGTGACGCCGTCCAGAGCGTATGATTTGTTCAAGCGCCGTTGTTTGCGTGTGGATGAAAGTGTCGACGCGTATGTGGCCGATTTGCAGCGTTATGCAGCGCTGTCGGGGCACAAACCGGGTGGTACCGCCAGCAAGGATCCGATCGTGATCGAGCAACTGATCGCTGGCCTACAGCCCGAATTTGGCCGCCAGCTGAGAATGTCACTGGCTGGCCAAGAGCTGACGATACCTGCGTGTCTAGAGCGTGTGCGTGCGCTCAGAGCCAGTGAGACCGATGCTCGGTACACGAGCAGGTTCAGCCAGAGCGTTTCTGCTAGTGCCAGTACCAGTAGTTACAGTGGAGGTGTACACCGACCAGCTCGCAGTACTGTTGTCTGCTATAACTGTAACCAGCCTGGGCATGTCCAGCGTAACTGCCCAGAGTTCAAGAAGAAGCAGAAGCCCCGTTTCAGTGGACCAGTAGTGTGCCACTTTTGTGATCAGCCTGGTCATGCAAAGCCAGCGTGCCCTGAGAGAAGGAAGTGGCGAGAAGCCAAGGCAGCAGAACGTGTGGCGGCTGCTGGTACGTCGCATAGTAGCAGTGACAAGTGCCTGTGTGCAGTGTCCACTGAAGCTGCCCCCTTGCCGAGGATCTATGTGGACGTGGAGTCGGCCAAGCCGGATGACTGGTGCCGTGGAGAGGCCATGCTGGACACCGGGTCGGCTCGCACGCTAGTGTCGTCTGGCTTTATACGTGCGGCTAAGATGTGCAGCCAAGTGTCGGCGGTAAAGCAGGAGAAGCTCCTCGCCCTGGATGGCGAAGCCCTGCCGATTTCGGGGTCAATTTCACTAACGATTCGTCGCCTGGATGGACCCGTGAATTTGCCGCCTACCCGTGTTGTTGCGTTTGTAGTTCCTGAGCTGTCGGTTATTAATGCTGACCTGTTGCTGGGATCTGACCTTGTCCGTGCCATCGGTGGCGTCAGGTTGCAGTACTCTGAGTCAGGTGATCTGCGGTCCGTGTTGTTTGGTCCGTCACCCGCCAGTCCTGAGCCTGTGTCGTCTGTCGTTAGTGATGCTCTGCAGTCGCCGGATCAGCACCCGTCTCGGCATGTTAGCGTGGTGCAAGACGGTGAGGACGTGACGCTATCTGTCGAGGATGGTCAGATAAAGTGGCTAGCAGATGAGCAGTGTTGGCAAGCAGCATGGAGGTGGAAGGACGACAAGCCACCTACCGGACGCATCGGCAGCGGCATTGGGGAGTACCCCCGGAAACTTAGCGATGATCAGGAGAAGCTGTTCCAGCAAGAAGTGGACTCCTGGATCGGTAACGGATGGCTCATCGAGCATGATGAAGAGGTACACGGAGCTCCTGCTGCAATTCTGCCATGGCTTGCAGTCAGCCAGGAGCACAAGCCTACTACACCTGTTAGGCCTTGCCTCGACTACCGTGCGCTGAACCGTGCCCTCGTGTCTCAGCCCGGTATGGATGCCTCTGTGTGTGGCGAGAAGTTGCGTGAGTGGCGTACGCACGATGCCAACGAGTATGAGATGTTGGATATTCGAAAGGCCTATCTGCAAGTCCGTATGTCACCTGAGTTGCTACGGTATCAGTGCGTGAAATGGAGGGGAAAGCTGTACGTGATGACCCGCATGGCTTTCGGGTTGAGCGTTGCACCGAAGTTCATGGACGTGATAGTCAAGTGGTGCACGCGAGATCATGATGGTGTTGACAATTACGTTGACGATCTGTACGTCCCGAAACCGCAGACAAAGGCTGTTGCGGATACCCTCGAGCGCTATGGCCTGCGCACGAAGCCAGCTGAGCCCGCCAATTCCGCCCGAGTACTTGGACTTCAGCTGTTCACTGGCCAAGATGGTCAAACCCGTTGGAAGCGTCGAGACGGAGTGAGTCTCGAGTGTGGCAAGCTGACCAAGCGTGGTGTATTCTCGTGGTGCGGCCGACTGGTATCGCACTATCCCGTGTGCTCGTGGCTGCGACCTGCCTGCAGCTTTCTGAAGCGCCTAGCATGTCGTGATGGTGGTGGTTGGGATGATGACGTCCCCAATGATGTGGTAACCTGTTGTGCCGAACTAGCAAGTCGCGTCCAAGATGAGGATCCGGCCACAGGCGTGTGGAATGCGTCAGTAAACGAGCAGCAGCTCACCGTGTGGTGCGATGCGTCTGATGTCGCATATGGCATTGTTGCCGAAGTTGGTGGTGAAGTCATGGAGGACAAGTCTTGGCTTCGCGATGCCGACGAGAAGAAGCATATCAACATCGCAGAATTGGAAGCAGTAATCCGTGGGTTGTCGACGGCAGTCGAATGGAACGCCAGCAACATCCGTCTTGTCACTGATTCCAAGACCGTGTACGGCTGGGTGAAGTCGTGCCTGAACAATGAGCGGCGTGTCAAGGTGTCCGGTCTGAACGAAGTGTTGGTTCGCCGACGACTAAACATCATCGACGACATTGTCGCGACCGCGAAGCTGTCCGTCACCATTGAGTGGGTACCGTCCCAGCAGAACAAGGCTGACAAGCTGACGCGTGTCCCAGATTTGTTCATCCGCTGCTGGAAGAAATCAGCCAAGCCAGATGTAGTTGCTGCCGTCTCTGCACCCCCGAAGATTGTGAGTGCTATTGTGTTACAGGACATTCTTGATGCGCAGAAGTCTGATCCTGTTGTTGTTAGTGTGATTGAGTCTGTGCGTCATGGTCGTGAGATTTCCGACCCGGTATTTAAGAAATTGAAGTCTCAGTTGTCTGTATCTGATGATGGTTACTTGTATCGTAGTGTGAAGGTACCGCCGAATGATGTGCGTGTTGTACCAGTTGTGTCTCAGTCATTGCAGCAGCGAGTGGTGTGTCGTGCCCATGCTGTGAGCGGTCATTCCAGTTGGGAGACCACATGGAAGCTGTTGCGTGCGAGTTGTTATTTTGCAAATATGGCTGTTGTTTGTCAGTCGTTGATTCAGTCGTGTGATGTGTGTGCTGCTGCTAATTCGAAGCGTGGGCCTGTTGCTGAGCCAACACGTCCGGTTATTCCATCTGGTCCATGGAATGTAGTACAGCTCGATACCCTGGAGTTGGGTCCGAATAGAAGCCACCGGTATCATTGTGTTCTTGTCTGTACCGATATGTTTACTAAGTGGGTCGAGGTGGTCCCATTGGTTCGCCATGATGGTCCGTCTGTAGCAGCTGCGTTTGTGGATGTATGTTCCCGCTGGGGTGCCCCAGCAGTTGTACGTTGTGACAATGGAACAGAATTTGTCAATCAGGTAGTTTCCTCTTTGTATGATGCATTTGGTGTAGAGGTGCGACATGGCGCAGTGCGTCATCCGCAGAGTCAAGGTGGTGTAGAGCGTTTTAACCGGACTTTGCTGACTTTAATTCGCAAGATTGTGCAGGAATCCGACGATTGGGTGTCTGCTTTAAATGTATTATTGTACTATTATCGTATTCGTCCCCACTCTGCGCTTGGTGTTTCCCCAAGTGAAGCCATGTGTGGCTGGGTCCCTCATGGCTTGATTGTGGACGATGAGCGTTGTGACATGTCCCCCAGTGCATGGGTGGATAGCTTGTGTAGTAAAGCGGCTGTTGTGCGAGACTACGTAGAAAGTGAGTTGTCCTCTGCTGATTTTGTTCAGCCTGTTGGGTGTGTGAACCCCTACAGTGTTGGTTCCACGGTGATGTTGCGGCAGGGAGATCGCCGCCAGAAGCGAACAGCGCCGTACGAGTCTGGATGGACAGTTGATAGTGTGGTGTCTCCGTCAACTGTTGTAATTGTTCGTGACACTAATGGTCGACATTCTGTGAAGACTGTCAATATTGATCTAATTAAGCCGTCAAGTGTGAGTGTGCCTGAGTATGATGATGCATGTGCTTCAAGTAGTAGTGATTCTGATTCTGATGTACCAGCCCAACCACTTCAAGTTGGTGGTCATCGTCTTCGCAACCGTGCTGGTCTCGTTCCTCCTGTTCGTTACCGTAGTTAACTGTTGACGTGATGTCACCAGGGGGAGGTGTGACAATATGACAATGTGTGTAGTGTGACGATACAATGTGTGTGTAGACAAACATTACGATTATGTATTTGTTGTGGTGACATCTGTCATCAGTGTGTCATGGCTCTTACCTCATTGTAGCTTCATCCGTAGTCCGCTTCCATTGTCCTTGTTCTATATTCTATTCTATTTCTTCTAGTGCTAGTCGTTTCACTTCTCATCTTTCCTTGAAGTAGTATATTTGAATTGTAATTGTTTTCCTGCAACGATCGCTCGTCGATCGTTGTGTTATTTATTTGTGTCTTGACTTCATTATTTATTTTGCCAGCGCCTGCAAGGCTGCATGCGCATGCTAGATTCTGTGTTCACGCGTGACTTATGATGTCATCGCTATGCCTTTGCTTGCTGCGCGTAGTCTTGTTGTTTTCTTTGCTTCGTTCGAGTTGCTGTTGCTCGACTTCGTTTTCTGATCTATTTTCTGCATTCAATGGTGGCCGTGATGGCTGTCGCTGCAATAGCAGCTTCAGCCACGACGGGCCTCTATCGGTTGGTCTGCCGCCATGTTGGACGCCATGTTTTAGACGTGTCTTTTCCTGGCTGAAGTGCTCGTGATTTCGTGTTCTTGTGGTTCTTTTCTAGTTCTCTCTCCTTTTCCAACTTGCATTTTTCGTGATTCATACATTTCCACCAAGAGGCTGCCGTTTGCGCTGGTGTGTTGTGTTGGGTGAAGAGGGGTGATAGAGAGACTAGATAGCTCCAGTTCTCCCACAATACGAACGAAACGCGTTGCTGGAAACATGACCGCTCGAGCTCTCTACTTCAGTGCTTGCAGTGTGTTGAGGTCGAGTAACTTGTGTCCTTTGACCACCTCCCAAACAAACAATAGCCATTACGACATGAGTGAGATCGTTACTAGGCTAGTAAAATCCCCAAATCGGTCGGCCAAAATTTTTGCCCAAAAGAGACTTATCGAAAAATTGCTAAGCTTTTCCCCGATCTTGGAGGTTCCTTTGAGAATCGCCAAAAATCTACTACATCTTCCAAAATCTCACCAATTGTGAAGCCAGTATACCAACAATTCTTTTACCCAATTTTCCAATTATACATTAAAACCTGTAACTAAAGACCACGGTGACTAGCGACCAGCCTAGTACTACGGACCACTTCGCCAGGCACGGACGGTCTCACATTTAAAATGCACTTTGACTATCGACTACCCGCTGAATGCGACCGCCTTTTTATTTCCCAAAGACGATTTTGGACCACCAAGTAGCGACCACGATGTACGAAAGCAAATGTTGCTCGAAGCTCCTTCTTGAAATTTTGCTGATTTTCCATGGTTCTGAAAGGAATATTTCGATAAAAAAAGCTGAACAAACAAACACAGGTCATTTTGACTGTGGAGGCGGTGTGGACTGCACTACACCCATCAAATTCTCAAGAGCTGTCAAGAATAAGCATAATAGGAAACGTCTTGGAGAGTGCATCGAAAGCGCTCTCTGATCAATGATACTACTCGGAGGAGAAATGAAGACTGAGCAGCTCTGTCACCCCAGTCATACAGACGAATCGACCATGGCATCGAGGAATCCAGAAACAAAGCAGCACCGGACAGTCCTGATGCTGAAGGATCGTGTTCAAGAAAACTCTCTCTGTCTCTCTGTCTCTCTCTCTCTCTCTCTCTCTCTCTCTCTCTCTCTGCTATTGGCACGCCTGGAGCATCTCAGACAACGCCACCACTCCCCTTATTCATGGCTCACACATGACGGGTTTACGTGGCTCTAGTAAAAAAATAATAAAATAAAAAACGAGAAATCACAACAAGGACAAACTGCACGGTTAATCGCATGAACAAATTTGAAGCCCAGCGCAAAACAAAAATTCTACAGGGAACGTTTTACTCCTGGCTTCAGAAGTAGCAGCTGAATTTTGATGTCTGCAAATAATTAATCTTCTCTCGCTCTCTGTGTCTCTCTTCACCTCTTCCTCTTTTTTGTTTTGTTTGTTTATTTAGAGTCGAAGAACAAACAGGCAAATTTGCCTAATTACATGATATCGACTAAAAAGGAGAATAAATTATAAAAGGCCAATGAAGGTAATGACACTGAGTAGAGTGGGTAGTAAAGTATTACTTTGTAAAAAGCCAGTTAGGCCAGTAAAGGAAATAATAATACAGCGGGCAGTGGCATTACTGAAAAGCAGCATGTGCTGGGAGGGATCGTATGAATCGGTGGTACTGTGGGATTTTCCTGATGTCGGGCTGGAGCCTGTTCCACAGTGATACATATTGGAATGAGGCAGAATGTGTGCCAGCGGATGTCTTTAGTGACTGGAAATTTAAGTGCTCGATTTCCCTGACTACGTGTAGCACGGCCGGCATTAAGAGGACTGAACATATCGGTAAGCAATGTGCTGCATTTACCCTGAAGGCAGCGCCAAGTGTAGCCAAGCAGCTTGTGGCAGTACATAACTTCTAGCGAGTGCAATCGCAATTGGCAATACAGCGGCGCAGATGGTGATGCAAATGGAGCGTTGTAAACACAGCGGACTGCGCGCTTGAGTAGCCGCTCTAGGCGCTCGAGCTGATGTGAAGTGAGGCCAGCAGAGCAACAGTTGCTAGCATACTGGAAGTCAGGAAGGATCAGGGACTTCAGGTATGTGATGCGGCACGGGAGGGGCATGCAGCGCCTGTTTCTAAACAGGACAGCTATTTTACAGGCAGCTCGCTTGGCGATCTGGTTGACCATTGTGGTCCACTTTAGATCTTGGTCCATGTGGACACCAAGATACTTTGCGGATTCTACTTGTGCCAGTTGAACTCCAGAGCACATAACGCTGACACGAGGATTCACAGAACGATGGGCAGGGATGAACAAAATCTGGGTTTTACTCTCGTTTAGTACCAGGTTCCTGCTGGCAAGCCATCTGGCCAGGTGTGTAACTGCAGAAGACATACTGCGTTCCAGCTGATGTTTGTCCCTGCTACTAATATAGAGCATGATGTCATCTGCGAACTGAACTGTCCGCACACCATACGGTTGCACTTCAGCTGCCACACCACGGACATACAGGACAAACAACAGAGGACCAAGTACGGAACCCTGGGGCACACCACTGCTGGGCTGGAATACCTTGCTGTGCTGGTTCCCAATGGCAACTCTTTGCTGCCGGTCACTTAAGTAGTCTGCCAGCCAATTCAGCGCACTTCCACCAGCACCAATACTGAAGAGGTCGCGGATGAGGGTGCCATGTTGAACCTTGTCGAATGCCTTCGACATGTCAACAAAGGCGGCGCAAGTTGAGAGTCCGGAGTCTTTGGCATTGGCAAAGGCCTCCGATGCCATCACAACAGCATCCTCTGTTGAGTGCTGTTTCCGGAATCCGAACTGGCAATCTGGGTAGAGGCTGTGGGTGGTCAAGAATTCAGTGAGTTGCGAATGTACGATGCGCTCAAGGATCTTTGAGATAATCGGCAACAGAGAAACAGGCCTGAAATTGGTGGCCTTAGTAGGGTCGCCGCTCTTGTACACAGGGGTGATATTTGCAAGTTTCATGGATAGTGGAAATCTCCCTTCGGAAAGTGACTTGTTGCAGATGAGAGTTACTGATGGAGCTAAGAGGTCGGAGCATGCTGCTAGTACAAGAGCAGGTACGCCATCACTGCCCGTTGACTTTGTCGTATCTACACTGCTGAGCAACTTGCGTACACATGCGATGGATACTGGCTTGAAACAGCAGAGATCAGTACTTGCATGCGGACCAGAGGGGATGGACAGCACCTTTGGGCGAGTCGCATCGGTGACGATGTCCGCAAACACTTGTCCGATTTCATCCGGGGGGCATTGAGGAGCAGTGTGGGTCCGTGTTCTGCCTGATACCTGGTTAATCACTCTCCATGTTTGTCTTGGCTGACCTTCCGCATTGGCAAACTGATCCTGATAGTAGCAGGCCTTGAGTCGTCGGTTAAGCTGGTTCACATCACGTCTGGTCTGGCGGAAAGCTTCATGCTCCACAGGGTTGCAGGTGCGTAGCCATTTGCGGTGGGCCCGGTTTCGACTAGATATTGTGGCCAGCAGGTTTGCATCCATCCAAGGAACATGTTTGCGTGTTTTGGTGCGGCGGGTCCTCAAAGGAGCATGTTTGTCTAGGATATCCAGGAACTTCTGCAGCCATCGAGTCCACATCTCATCACACGATCCATCCAAGGAGCACAAGTTTGCAGCCACGTCTTTCTCTCCAAGTGTTGTTGGACCTGAAATAAGAATGGTGTTGCGGAAGTCCTGGGGTATTAGCTGCATTTCGACATACAGTCAACTTCGCTAATAACGACTGCGGATATAACGACAATTCGTGAATAACGACAGCATTTCCATGCCCAGAGCAAAGTCCCATCTAACTGTATACATTTAACTTCGGATACAACGACTATCTGAATAACGACAATTCGCGAATAACGACATGCTTTTAGTGCCCGGAGGTCATATTCACTGCTTGAATAACGACTTTCTGGGCTTTTGATAGCTATTTCAAGTACCTGTCATGCAGAAGTACCAGAACCCATGCCATGCATGGCGATGGATAAAGGCACACTTGCAAGAAGATGCAGCCAAAGGGGGGTGTTTTTTAATTTTTTTTTGCTTCTAAATAATTATATGTTGGAGTGATCAGCGCAACTACAATGTCCTGTAGTGTAGTTGTACATGTAGGTCTACTATACATGATTGTACAGCAATCATCATACATGTCATGTACATGTCCCTGTAGATGGCTCCAAAACTTGCAAAAGACTAGTTTTTTCATTTCCCTTCCAGTTCCATATCGACTGTATAGTTTCTTTCAATTGTAATATGAAAATGGGGTTCACGTTGGCATAGAGCATGAAAAAAGCTTCAGTTTGATATGCGTGTCATACTATACAAAAATATGGGTTCACATACATTCAAATGGGACTTCGGGTATAAGGACACTTCGCGAATAAGGACATTTTTCCG